AAAAGTAAAAAAGAATAAATTATATATATATAGATATACATTTATATATATATATATATATATATATTATATATTATGTATTGAATATGTGTGCGATCATTTGAACTCTTTATATATAATTATAAAGTATGCCTGTCTTACCATAGATGCGTGTATAACGTGTTATATCTAATACCAAACATGGTGTTTTCTATATATCTTATGCTTATACGATCCGTTACTAGTACTAGCCAGAAATAGTATGCCTGTTATATGAAACACAATATACTTAAATGACACTGTGTAGCTATTATATATAGCTTTTATATATTGTTCTTATTTATCTTTGGTGCCTGAATATATGTGTCTTATTAACAATGTTTCCGTTCATTTCTAGCATCTCTCATGCAAGATACGCCTCTTTCGAATTTTTTGTCACAAGACTCATGCTCGATTAACAATCACATTTTCCCTATGTTTGCATATTAGGGGTTCACGGCATAATCTGTGTTGGGTAGGTTGTATTTAGATTTTTAGTCCAAAAATTCCAGAAAAATCTTTTATTTTATAACATTTAGTTACCACCGGCATGATCCGACCTTAATATTATTATTATTAATCGAACACAACAAGCAACAACAACAAATAACTAATAATAAATAATAATAATAATTAATAACAATACAGTAATAAATTTAGGTTTATTTTTTTCAACTGGGTTTATTCATACCTACAATTCACTACTCTGCCCAACAACAACAGACGTCAGCGCCACCGCATCACCCTCGCTCTACCATCACTCCCCCGGGCGGCGACAACGAACGTCCTTGTCGTAGAAATAGAGAGTTATTGAGTTGCAGCGCCGTGCATACAGCTGCGACTGATTCATCCGGCTGCTGCCGAGACGACGCACGACGACGACGACGAAAGGGCGCAGCTCAGGGATTCATTAATATAGCTACTCACCAAGCGAAATCAATTTGCGCAGCCTCTACTTGCCCGCGGCGCGCCTCGCTACACAAACACAGCAAGCCTATCTGCTGTTAACCAGCACGCAGGCCTATAACTGCCAGGCGAGCCTCCCCAACACCGCGTCTCGCCGTGGAATATTCCGCTCGCACCACGGAATCCTCACTGAATACGCGATGACAAACTTATAACCTTTTTTATGCTGTGTACCATGGTCGCTCTAAAAGTTTTAGGCTTGCTTGATTGACGAAACCCGGTGTAAAGATCCAGAAAGAGATGGTTTAACATTACTTGCCCGATTTAACTTATATTTAACTTATTATTTACATCTGAGACATGCATTCGTTGAAACTAGATCAACTGATCAAGCTTCCGCCAGGTGTCATCTTTAAGAATCCGATCAAATTAAGTTTGTTTTTGTTTCAGCTATCCCATACTGGATCCCACACGCACACGCACACACACACACGCACGTACACACACGCACGTACGCGAGCACACACACACGCCGCCACACCACACACGCACGTACACACACCGCGACGTACACACACACGCACGTACGCGAGCCCACACACACGCGCACACACACGCACGTACACACGCGCACGTACGCGAGCACACACACACGCGCACACACAATACGCACGCACGCGAGCACGCGAGCCACACACAAACGCATTCACGCGCACGCACAAACGCACGCACGCACACGCGCGTTGTTTTATTTTCAGGCTATACGTTACTACCGTCGTGAGTGCATGCGTACACCATCACCACTCCACCACGCTTCGATCGCTCACTAAAGCCCAGCAATCTGTGGTTATGCTTCATTGGCTACAGGGCGGAGGGAGCGACGAGATGACAGCGGAGAGGTTAACGAATTTGCATGACCTTGTCACCATCATTTCACGCGAGTGTACGCGCTCGATCCGCACCCCCCCTCCGCCTCCTACACCCCCTCCGCCTCCGCACCCCTCCGCTTCCACACCCCCTCCCACCTCCCGCACCCCTCCCCACCCCTCCCGCCTCCCGCACCCCTCCGCTCCGCCGCCTTCGCCCCCCTTCCCGCCCCTCGCCTCCCGCTCCCGCCTCCTCCCGCACCCTCTGTCGCCCGGGCTCATGACGAGGGATTATAAACATGCCGCGTAACAACAAGTGCGAGTGACTGGACCGTACGATGATGACTCAATGTGTCACGACGATGGGTGGGGAGGGAGAGGCAGGGAGTGAGGGGAGGGGAGGGAGGGAGAAAGGCAGGAAGGAAGTGTGGAGCGGAGGTAGGGAGGAAGGGCAGGCAGAGAGGGACGGATGAGGAGGGAGAAAGGGGAGGAGGAAGGGAGCAAACAAAACATTTACAAATGGGCGTTTGTTCTCTTGTCAAAGGCAAAGCAAATCGAAGCAGCCAATCAGAAGGCGCTAAATTTTTCGCTATGTTATACCGTTTGGGAAAAAAAATTTCGCGGCCCTGGCTTGCTGCGTAAAATTATACTTGTGGGAGAGTCTTACGGTCCAGTAACCCGGCAAGTTCCCACATTTGTTCGTTCGTATTCGCAGAAACACACAGTCCGTGGTCCCGTGATGCCCCACTTAACAGATCTTTGCCGACTCTAGAGTCGTTCACACCTCTCCGTGTCTGCTGCCCGGGATTACTACAAGTCGCCATATATATGCGTATGAATATATGAGCTCTCTCACGAACATTACGCTGCTTGTCAAGCCAAGGTCAAGTCAAGTCAAACTGATGAGTGAGTCGTGTAAGATGTAATACCAAGATAGATCAACTAGATTCTATTTAGAGATTTAGATAAATTCTTCTACTATTTTCATTTTATTTTATTTATCGATTTATATCATATATTTATATATCGTTAGATAACATAGTTTATCTATTTTAGTAATAATTATGCAAAGTAGTAAAGTTAGTAAAATAACAATAATAACGAGGCTATGATAAGATAGGGCGTACAAGTGTAAAACACTAAGACGCAACAATGATAAAAGTGAGATTTACAAATATGATAATAATAGGATACATGCATGTAGCCCCCAGAGTCCAATAGGATCCAAAAACAAGATGTAACCATATTAACACGACGATAATAAGACTTGCATTATCTGTTTCTCGTGCAGTAGTGATGTATAGAAGGTCTGCAGTATTGGTCGTGCTTCTCCTACAAGCTGCAGTAATGCCAAGCCTCGTGGTAAGTTACACAGGCCTTTTTTAATCTTCATTTTCATGTTTATGTTCTATTGTTTGTTGTTAATTTTGTTTTTTATGAATGACGAGCACCAATATCCGAAATGTGTGCGTGCGTGCGTGCGTGCGTGCGTGCGTGCGTGCGCGCTTGTGTATATATGTGCGCGCGTGTGTATGTGCGCGCATGTGTATGTGCGTGTATGCATGCGTGCGTGCGTTCGCTCGTGTGCGCGTGTGTGTGCATGCGCGCATACATGTGTATAAGTGCGTGCGCGCATGCATGTGTATGTGTGTTTGCGCGCGTGCGTGTATGTATGCATCGTGCGTGTGTGCGCGTACGTATATGTATGTGGGCTAGTGTGCGCGCCTGAGGATATGATGGATGTGTGTATGTGTATGCGTGCACGCGTACGTGCGTTCCACAGAGGCTATAGGATTTTGGTTTCAACTTTCAAATATATCCTAACGACAGAGTGGCACCTGCGAGACTAAGGGATGCAAGGGCGACCCCGGCACTCCTGGCCCGAAAGGCGGCACCGGCCCTCCTGGCCCGAAAGGCGACCCCGGCACTCCTGGCCCGAAAGGCGGCACCGGCCCTCCTGGCCCGAAAGGCGACCCCGGCCCTGCTGGCCCGAAAGGCGGCACCGGCCCTCCTGGAGCGAAAGGCGGCAGCGCCTGCTGGCGAAAGGTGACGCCGGCGCTCCTGCACTAAAGGTGAGAGGGTTAGGCACGGACGTAAGGTTTTGATTGACCGCATAGTGGTATGTCAGCCTTCTACACTTTCTTCAATTGTACCACGAACGGAATATAACCATCATTAGGTATAGCTACTTACAGCATACGTCGTGTTAAGTCATAGATATAATATATTGACGCATACAGTTAATGATAACTCTATATAAACGCACACTGTCCATACGAGACTTGTAGAGTGTTTCCCGGCGGTGACACTATACACGATCGAACGATCGAACACGCTTTTTGCGTGATCATTCGGTGGCCGTTATCTTAGAGAGTTGACTGTATATTGATATCGGATGGTCGTTCCTACTGTAATGTAGATATAACTATGGTTATCTTGATGTTCCGATGCACGTCATAGGTTCGAAATTATGCAGACGTTCGCGAATATATGATACCTAATTGAAACTATATAACAATAATTAAGTATGTAAATACACGAAACGACACACACGCACATGAAGCAAACAATGAACGAAAAAAGAACCACACGTTTCGTATTCTAATGCGTAGTTACCCGGGTTCCCGATAGGTTCGGACGGTGCCCGGGCCGCAGGCCGTCAGACAGTATTCAACAACTCCAGGTTACTGTGAGGGCAACTCGGTCACATCTGCTGTCAGGTAAGCATGAGGATCGCTCAGGCGTGGCTATCTACGGCCGCGGGAGGGAGAGAAAGTTGTCCGACCAAATTTCGCCAGTCTATGCCAGGGCTACAACGCCGTCACGGCGCCGTGTCGACGTGCAACGACGCAGAGTGCATTGCACGATAAGGGATGCGAATCTCACGCTTGGGCGTGAGCCTGCTAGCATACGAAAATACGGCAGTGTCAGTGGATGTGTGCTTGAAGAGTAGAAGTGATGGTGACGCTCGCCGATACACGTGCGACAGTAACAACCGCGTCGCATAGGAGCGTTCTCAAAAAGCTGCTGATAACGAGTGCCAGTGGCACGAACGTTTTGTATTGTGAGGCGGAATAGTAATTGCCGCCCGTCTGTCTGCCTTCTCGCTACACGTGTTAGCATACATCAAAGTAAAAAAAATGTTTAAAAAAGTAAAAAAGAATAAATTATATATATATAGATATAAGATTTATATTATATATAATATATATACATATAATATATTATATATATATATATAATATTATAGTTTGTGGCGATCATTGAACTCTTTATATATAATTATAAAGTATGCCTGTCTTACCATAGATGCGTGTATACGTGTATATCTATATACCACACATGTGTTTCTATATATCTATGCTTATACGATCCGTTACTAGTACTAGCCAGAAATAGTATGCCTGTTATATGAAACACAATATCACATTAAATGACACTGTAGCTTATATATATAGCTTATATAGTGTTCTTATTTATCTTTGGTGCCTGAATATATGTGTCTTATTAACAATGTTTCCGTTCATTTCTAGCAATCTCAACATGCAAGATACGCTCTTTCGAATTATTTTGTCACAAGACTCAATAGCTCGATTAAAAATCACATTTTCCTATGTTGCATATTAGGGGTTCACGGGCATAATCTGTGTTGGGTAGGTTGTATTTAGATTTTTAGTCCAAAAATTCCAGATAAAAATCTTTTATTTTATAACATTTAGTTACCACCGGCATGATCCGACCTTAATATTATTATTATTAATCGCAACAACAACAGCAACAACAACAATAACAATAATAATAATAATAATAATAATAATAATAATAATAATAATAACAATAACAGTAATAAATTTAGGTTTATTTTTTTCAACTGGGTTTATTCATACCTTACAATTCACTACTCTGCCCAACCAACAACAGACGTCAGCGCCACCGCATCACCCCTCGCCTCTACCATCACTCCCCCGGGCGGCGACAACGAACGTCCTTGTCGTAGAGAATAGAAGAGTTATTGAGTTGCAGCGCCGTGCATACAGCTGCGACTGATTCATCCGGCTGCTGCCGACGACGACGACGACGACGACGAAGGGACGCAGCTCAGGGATTCATCTAATATAGCTTACTCACCAAGCGAAATCAATTTGCGCAGCCTCTACCTTGCCCCGCGGCGCGCCTCGCTACACAAACACAGCAAGCCTATCTGCTGTTAACCAGCACGCCAGCCTATAACTGCCAGGCGAGCCTCCCCCCAACACCGCGTCTCGCCGTGGAATATTCCGCTCGCACACGGAATCCCTCACTGAATACGCGGATGCCAAACTTATAACCTTTTTTATGCTGTGTACCATGGTCGTCTAAAAGTTTTAGGCTTGCTTGATTGACGAAACCCGGTGTAAAGATCCAGAAAGAGATGGTTTAACATTACTTGCCCGATTTAACTTATATTTAACTTATTATTTACATCTGATGACATGCATTCGTTGAACTAGATCAACTGATCAATGCTTCCGCCAGATGTCATCTTCTAAGAATCCGATCAAATTAAGTTTGTTTTGCTTCAGCTATCCCATACTGGATCCCACACGCACACGCACACGCACACACACACGCACGTACGCGAGCACACACACACGCGCACACACACGTACGCACGCACGCGAGCACGCGAGCACACACACAAACGCATTCACGCGCACACACAAACGCGCGCACGCACACGCGCGTTGTTTTATTTTCAGGCTATACGTTACTACCGTCGTGAGTGCATGCGTACACCATCACCACTCCACCACGCTCGATCGCTCACTAAAGCCCAGCAATCTGTCGTTATGCTTCATTGCTACAGGGCGGAGGGAGCGACGAGATGACAGCGGGAGAGGTTAACGAATTTGCATGACCTTGTCACCATCATTTCACGCGAGTGTACGCGCTCGATCCCGCACCCCCCGCCTCCCTCCTACACCCCCTCCCGATGCGAACATAGAAACATGCACATCTAATACGTAATGTCTATAGGATGCAAACGTGATGTGCAAAGGTCGGCGAGCGTATGCAGCGCAACACAGATATCAACGACGAAATGCGTTGCAACGGTAGAAATGTGTTCATCCAGAGAATACTCGAGACTAGTGCGTCATCTAGTATACCGGCATCTCTAGATGACATCGTGACCGCGGCGTGGGCCGGTGACGTATATCACTCGATGGCGGAGCATCGGATCGGCTGCTAGCCTATACAGACGAATGCTGGCGCACACGCTAAATGCGCCCTGCACGTCTCACTCTTCCACGAACTGCCACCGACGACTGACGATGACGGTGACGATGACGATGATGATGTCGTCTGCTGCAGCAGAACGGCTGTCACGAAACGGAGAACGAGGGCAATACGTTTACAGAGCGAGGGGCTCCGATTTATAGGTAAAACCATAATAATAATAATAGAATTAATAAAAAATTAATAATAATTAATATTATGTTGTTATAATTGTGATAATAATAATAAGCAATGGTATGATAACGATAACGAAGCGTTCAATTTAACCTATGCGCTTTTTTTATATAGATTGCGCTGATTCAGTTGATAGATAGATTGATTTTATATGCTTCAGTTTATTTTTATCATGATAATAATTGTTTATTCTCGTATTGTTTTATTGTATATGTACACGTTTAAAGAGGAAATGATAGAAATACACGGTAAGAGGAAGACACGAGAGAGAAGAGAGAGAGAGAGAGAGAGAGACAGACAGAGAGGAGACAGAGAGAGACAGAGAGAGAGACAGGGGGAGGAAGCGAGGAAGAGAAGAGAGAGAGAGAGAGAAGAGAGGAGAGAGAGACGACGACGAGCGGATAGAGATGAATGGAGAGAATGTCATTTCCCCAGTGCTGAAGCAGTTGTGAAGTAATCAGAAAGATGAGAGAGATGTGATAGAGAAATGTGTAACGCCAGACACGTCTATTATCCGTGTCGGTTCCCATAACGCCAACCCTTACAGCCCCCGCAAGTATAGCGTGTATAGAGCCGTACACAGAAATATCTCTATACACGGATACACTATATCTCTATACTCTGCATGTGTATGTACACTTTATTGACACGTATTATGTGCATACGCGTGTCATAGGTGCTTTATTGTGCCGTGTGCCGTGTACATACTCCATGAGTCTGCCAAAAGTGTTTTTATAGGACAGCTAGGTGCTCGGTATATAGAGGTGATTTCACTGCACAACTGTCACTTAAGGGAAAACCCAAGTGTCCTACAGTCATGGGGTTGCTGTATCTCTAACGAACCCCCTCGTATCGTAAATGTGGCTGATAGCGGTCTATGTCCCCCAGGTACTGCCGGAACGTACCCTGGGTACGGTCCGGTATACTGGAACGTACCCTGGTAACTATCTGATTAGCCGGACCGTACGTCGCTTACTCCTACCCTACCTGACTGTCCCTGTTCCGCCCACTACTGATGTCGCAAAATTTGAAATATACATACAGACCTGTATATTCTGCATCTGGTTGGATTGGAGTATGAAACTGTGAAACCAAGAAAAATTTCAACCTATATACACTGATGCGCGCAAATCCTTTGCAAATATCGCGATAGATGGGAATGCGTTTTCTTTCGCAATGTTACACATTTTCGCCACTTTTCGCCGCGAGATTTTTGAAATATGCATGGCTCCAAGTGTGGGTGGAACAGGAAAATTGTATGATTATCTTAATGGGTTGGAAACTTATAGACTCGCTGACACTTGTAAAAAGGCGGAAGGTGAAACGTAACAGGGTAAGGCAGAGTAATTGATTTAAGTGCTCTGGTAAGGGTTACGAATATTTTGCGGGAACGACCGGAAACAAGGAATGGGAGCTATAAAGCGGGCGTCTTTCCGCCGACAAGCGGTATGTATTACGACATCGGCTGAAAGTCAGGGTACGGTTTGCGAGTAGGCGAGGTACGGTCCGGCATATTAGAATAGTTACCAGGGTCGTTCCGGATAAGCCGTACCGACCCAGGGTACGTTTCGGTATACAGCGACTGACCGCCAGGTGTACATTCGGCATTACCCTGGGTAGAGTCCCTGTATACAGAGAGTGCGCCATGACGAGTCGGAAAAAATCGGTCACGTGATTGCTGACGGCATGTTGTTCCAAATTTGATCACACGCTGTCGCTTAAGTACAGCGCTGTATGGACCACGCTGTACAATGGCCGTAGTAATTAATTAGACTAATCGCTGCTCAATAAACTCAAAATTTACAGAGATTATAGCTAAGACATGTGTCTATGTGTATCTAGATTTCTAGAACTCCAAAACACATGTTTACAGCTGCGAGCGAGTGAGAGTGGAACGCATTTATCTGTGAATTACAGTTGTCATATTCTTCCAAAATACTAGCTGCTGTTTTACACTAAGAAATTGACAATTAAGCCTTATCATATGGCGCGACGATTTGAGTTACTTTTCTAGAAATCTAGATATATATAAACACATGTGTTATCTATGATCTCTGTGATTCTTGAGTTTATTGAAGCGCGAGTGATTTAATTAATTAGCAAAGTATCTACGCGCGGGAGCAAGCACAGGTTAATATACGCACGGCTATGGCGGTAAAGAAAGTGTAAATTAAACTATCAATATGGCCCGCGAACGATTTGAGTTACATTTCTAGAAATCTAGATACACATAGACACATGTCTTAGCTATAATCTCTGTAAATTTTGCAGTTTATTGAAGAACGATTAGTCTAATTAATTACTACGGACCATTGTACAGCGTATCCATACAGCGCTGTACTTAAGCGCCAGCGTGTGGATACATTGGAAACAACATGGAGTCAAATCCTGAGTGGCGCAACTCTCTGTATATAGGACCCTACCCTGGGGGACATAGACCCTATCACGTAAGTGTGGCGTGGCGAGCGCGCACGTTTGTGTGTTGTGTGTTTGTGTGCGTGCGCGCGCGTTTGTGTGTATGTTGTTTTGTGTGTTTGTGTGCGCGTGTGTTCTGTGTGTGTGTGTGCGTGTGCGTGTGGCGTGTGCGTGTGCGTTGCGTGTGCGTGCGTGTGCGTGTGTGTGTGTGTGTGTGTGTGTTGTGTTGTGTTGTGTTTTGTGTGTGTGTGTGTGTGTGTGTGTGTGTGTGTTTGTGTGTGTGTGTTTTTGTGTTTGTGTTGTGTGTGTGTGTGTGGTTCTGTGTGTGTTCTGTGTGTTGTTCTGTGCTGTGTTTATGTGTGTGTGTGTGCTGTGTGTGTGTTTGTGTGAGAGAGAGAGAGAGCGTGCGCGTGCGTGCGTGTGTGCCCGCGTGTACGTACGTATTCATCCGGTCGCAGCGTTGAACGTGTGAGTGTTTTCAGGTCAGTTCGCTTCGGCGGCACGTCTGTGTGCAGATCAACCAGGACTCCCCAACATGGCAGGCAGAGGCAGGCGAGAGGTGTGGCCGTCACACACGACACCGCCGCACCACGAACATGACGGAGCGATTGTCGAGAGCAGAAGTGACGTCGACCATCCGCTCACCCCGTCCGCCTGGATCCGTGGTGGACACCGTTTATAGTAGGGTGTCTGAATATATCGCGGATGTTTTACTCATTCGCGAAACACGGAGCAAGATCTCTTGCCGACTGTCGCAAAACGCAATGCGCATGCGCGCTAAATAATCACACGCCTACCTTTGTCCTCCTTCCCTTCCTTCATTCTTTCTCCCTTCGCTCTCCCCTTCCTCCCTCCTCATCCGTCCCTCTCTGCCTGCCCTTCCTCCCTACCTCGCTCCACTACTTCCTTCCTGCCCTTTCTCCCCCCTCCCTCCCCTCCTTATCCCTGCCCTCTCCCTCCCACCCATCGTCGTGACACACATTGACGTCATCATCGTACGTCCTCACTCGCACTTGTTGTTACGCGGCATTTTATAATCCCTCGTCATGAGCCCGCCGGCGACAGAGGGTGGGGAGCGGGAGGCGGAGCGGGAGGGGCGGAAGCGGAGGCGGGAAGGGTGGGCGGAGGCGGGAGGCGGAGCGGAGGGGTGGGCGGAGGGCGTGGGGGAGGGTGCGGGCGGTGAAGGGAGGTTGAGCGGGAGGGGGCGGGAGC